TGCCAAATCGCATCTGAATAGTTGAGTAATCAGGAGGTCTGCGAAACTCCCCGACACGAGCGACTCTCTGCTCTATACATATTGATCTAAGAAGTACAAAAACTCATGTTTCTTTTTAAATATCCTTTTTAAAAAAATAAACAAATTGATGTAATATTCCTGCACTGTCTGGAAATGTATAAGTTGGCACAGAGATACAAAATTTTTCAAGCCAAATTTCCTCTTATTTTTAAACGAAATGGCTCCTGAAACAAGAAGATGCTAGATCAGGTTTAGAGTCAGTGAAAATATGACTACATAAATGGCCTGAATATGTGCCATTTGAATCTCTAATGTGTTTCTACACACTCCTTCGCTCACCGATATACCCACTTCTCCACAATAAAGCTCCTTACTATGTGCTCTCACTCCTACGTCCAAGAAAGGTCCCGACTTTCTTAACAAGCCCAACTATGCCCTTTAGAATTTGTTCCGACTTTACTCTTCAAATAAGGCTGGAAAAAGGTATAATTATTACAGTTTTCTTCATTACTGAGAAAACATTTAGATGTTTAACATCAGGTGTTATTGGGAAAAGTTTTTATCTTTCCTAAGAAAAAACAGGGCTACACATTTCTAAGAAAGTTGACATAAGTTACAAATGGAACTTTGAATGCTTCTAAGAAACATTAGAAGCAATTATGTTGACTAACACAGCCGAGGCATAAAATTGGAAGATATATTTATGTTTGAAGAGAAAATCAGATTTCTTATGCACTTATTTGGCTCTGCTTTCTACCTTTCAAAATTAGCCCAGTGATCAGAAGGAAGGGTAGATTTATTATACCCACTTCTTATTTTAAATAATGCGAGTTCGAATTAGTAGGAAATCATCTTTTTAAAAGACCTGAATGTTCACTTATTTTATATTGTGTAACGGTACTTGGGGGAAACATCGGGTGAAAATTATGATCCTTTCTCCATTAGCTTTTTACTATCAGAGTCAATCTACGGGCGTGAAAATGTGTTAGAGGCTTTCTCGCCCATGGCTATTACATGTAAGTGCAAAAGAAATGGACAAAGTAGAAACCTACAAAGTCAGTAATTACTAAGTGCATGACTTAGAGGAACACTCAAACTTTGAGGTCCACAATCCCAATGCAGCAGGGATTCCAGTTCAGCAACTGTGGGGGCCACTAGCCGATAATGCAGCGAAGCACATGGCAAAAAAGTCTTGGTGTGGGTCAGACGGGGTGGGCTGGGCTCGATGCTGATCTTGGAGACAGGGCGCTCACACATCTGACAGGAGGTAAGGGGTTCGGGTGATAGACTGTTGGGGAATAGTGACAGTGACAACTTCGGCAGAGATCTCCTGGCCCAAGGCCATGGAGGAGCCCAAGGTGAGGAGACCACCTTCTCTCTGTCATGCAGAGCTGAGCTCTGGAGATGAGGCAGCACCCAGACACAGAAACCCAGGGACCCACCCAGAAAAGGTGGGGCCCTCAGAGAAAAGACGCTTTGGAAGAATCAGCGGGATTGTGAGAAGACCAGTAACAGGGAAAGATGTTCCTTTCATGGGTGAGGAACTCCAGGAAACCCATTTGGAAGAACCTTGCAGTCAGCCGTTCCGGGCTGCTCTTCCTGCCTAACTTTCCTTGAACTTGTGCCTTGCTCTCTCCTCTCTCTGTTCCCCTTCTCGGTGTTCCCCCTCTGGAGAGGCTCAGCTCACTCTCACACTTGTAATTAACCCTTCTCTCCCCTCACATCTCTCTAATTAAGTTTCAGTGAAAACTTCCCTGCTTCACCATTTCAGCTCCTCCCGAAATTCCTTTCTTGGAGGGAAAAGCAACGGGCTTACCATGCCCGTTCTGAGGCTGGGGCCCGGGGAAGCCTCTCCCCAGCGTGGGTGGCCCAGGTGGGGTGAGCTGGGCCTCAGGTGTGTTGACTTTTACATAACTGATCGAGTGCTAATACTGAGCGCAGGGTCTGGAAAGACAGTGCTGTAGTTGTGGTCTTGCTCTGTTGGTGGCTGGGCCTGGTTTGATCCCAGACACAGCAAACAATTGCCTGAGTACATCCAGGAGTGACCTCTGAGCACAAGAAGGAGAAAGCACTGAGCACTTCCTGGGGTGGATCCCAAAAATAGTGAGAGAGAGAAAAAGAGAGAGAGAAAGAGAGAGAGAGAGAGAAAAAGAGAGAGAGAAAGAGAGAGAGAGACAGGGAGAGAGGGAGAGAGGGAGAGAAAGAGGAAGAGAAATAAAGAAATGGAGAGGGAGAGGGAAAGGGGGTTTGATACTGGAATAAGGATAGTCTCTAGACCAATGGAACAGAACTGACAGCCACACACTAGACCCTCAGATATATGGATATGCAATCTTCACAAAGGAGCACGAGGAATACGAAGTGGAACAAAGAAAGACCCTTCAATAAATGGTGTTCGGAAAACTGATCACTCACATATGAAAAAAAAAAGAAATTCTCATGCCATACATGAGTAAAATTAAAATTGGATTAAAGACCTTGAAATAAGAATTGAATGCATAAATTTATGTTGATGGAAATGTAGGTAAGCCCCTGCATGCCATTGAATCTGGAGCTATCTTCAATAACTCAATCATTGGCCAAGCAAACAGAAGTAAAGATAAGCAAATGGCACCATATCAAACTGAGATGTTTCTGCACCCTCCCCAACACACTCCTCCCTTCCTGTCCCCGCCCCCCCCCCCCCCCCCCACACACACGCAATGATGGCCAGAATAAAAAGACACCTTGTTGACAGGGAGAGAATATTTGCCCTCTCCTTAGCTGACAGGGTAGAAACCTACAAAGTCAGTAATTACTAAGTGCATGACTTAGAGGAACACTCAAGCTTTGAGGTCCACAATCCCAATGCAGCAGGGATTCCAGTTCAGCAACTGTGGGGGCCACTAGCCGATAATTCAGCAAAGCACATGGCATAAAAGTCTTGGTGTGGGTCAGACGGGGTGGGCTGGGCTCGGTGCTGACCTTGGAGACAGGGAGCTGGCACATCTGACAGGAGGCACATCTGACTCAATATAAAAGAGAGTGACCTGTGACCTGTAAGCTATATAGAGATTTGTAAAATTTAACAAGAAAAAAGCAACCATAACATGGGGAGAAGAGAAGGACAGAAATTTTCTCGAAGAAGTACGAATGAGCAGTAAGTATATGACACTGTGCTCCGAATCACATATCATCAGCAAAACGCAAATCATAACAGCCAGGTGGAAACACTCACATCGTGAAGTGACACACAACAGAAAGGATTAAGGCAGCCAGTGTTGGCCAGACAGAAAGTGCCGTGTAGCGGGGAGGGGGCTGATCTTCATTCTGGACCCAGGGAAATTCCAGGCATGCCACATGATTTACCAAAGTGCCCACGGCAGTGGCCCCTGAGCACAGAGCCAGGACGAAGTCCTGAACACCACCAGGTTTGGGCTCCCAAACAAATAATACTAGACAGACAGACAGACAAACAAGCAAGCAAAACCAGCCAGAGTTGGCAATGATGTAGGGGAAATGGAACCCTCATTCCGTGTTGGAGGGAATATCAACTGGTTCAACCATTTTGGACAACAGTGTGGCCACTTCTCAAATGAAGAATTAAGCTTTCATATGACCTAGTGGGCTGGAGCGATAGCATAGCAGGTAGGGCTTTTGCCTTGCACGTGGCCGACCTGGGTTCAATTCCTCTGCTCCTCTCGGAGAGAGCCCGGCAAGCTACCGAGAGTATCCCACCCGCACAGCAGAGCCTGGCAAGCTCCCCGTGGCATATTCGATATGCCAAAAACAGTCACAACAAGTCTCACAATTTGTTGTGAGACATTACTGGTGCCTGCTCGAGCAAATTGATGCACAACGGCAGGACAGTGCCACTGTGCTACATGGCCGAGCTATTCTGCTTCTTGGCATCTACCCCAAGGGTTAAAACCTCTCTGCAGAAAAAGATATCTGTGCTCATATGTTCATTGCAGCACTACTCACAGCAGCCAACATTTGGAAATAACTCCTGTCCAAGAAGAGATGACAGGGTAAATAAACTATGACACACGTACACAATGGGATATGACAAGTATGCACAACTCAGCTGTAAGAAAAGGTGAAACCAGGCAATTTTCTGCGACATGGATGGAACGGCATGGAGTGTAATGCTGAGGGTGTCAGTGAGAAGGTGAGGACAGACAGAATACTCTTTCTCCTGTGTGGGGCACAAAGTAAGGGAATAACAAACATCCAGAGTCAGAGCTACTGGAGAACTAGTCGAGGGAGCTGAGTTTACTCTGGCAGTGAAACAGAAAGTTGGGGGGCAGGGCTCAGGGGGGCTCCTGAGACAGTGCTGAGAACAAGGGAACATCGTAATGCATTGTAACCTGATCATGTAAATCATGGCTACCAGAAATAAGCAACAAAAATAATAAAGCTAAATAAAGTACATCATCATATTAACTGTATACCAACACCACAGTGGGAAAAATAGCAATAATGTCAGTGTTAGCCAAACTGTAATGAAGAGACAAATACAAGACCAGTTGAGCACTTGATAGCTATTTTCTCTCTCTTTTTCTCTCTTTGTTTTTAAATGTAGGAGTACTGCTAGTTATTCAGCCATTGATTAAGCTGATTGAATGGGGCATGAATTCCACGATTCTCTCTTTCTTTCCCTCTCTTCTGAACTCTCATACCTACCTGTCAGACCTCAGCTATCTTTTTACTTAGTGTACAATGGGATTGAGTAGAAATAAAAATCCTGGTAGTGTCAAATGTAAAAGATATAAATGGAAAGTTATCTTATCCTTCCCGGAAAATGTGCAGAGCTACATTAAAATTTTATTTTATTATAAATGCTATACTAATTTTTAGGTTTTTCAATATATTTTACATTATAGGATCACATTTTCACTAAAGAAGTTCTACATTTATGATTAGATACCATATACCTATTTAAACGGATTTGGACAGCTTTTCAGAATTCTACGGTTACGCAATCAACGCGTACTTACTGGATGGAACTTTCAATGCGGGTTATAGTGAGGAAAGCGGCAAGATTTGCTGTGTAAGACGAGATAACAATCAAGGCAAACAGCCACCAAGCGCCCATCATCATTCGGGTAGCCAGAGTCGTGTAAGGGACCTCTCCACCTACGGAAAGAAGCAAATACATCGAGAAAATTCAGCATCCTTTATTGGTCACAGAGATCATACATATTCAATGCCAAACTTACTCTCAGAAGTAAGAAACATCCCTATTCTATAACACCAGCAGAGATCTCTATATTTTACTCAAGGTAAAAATTATTTGATATCTAATTATTTTATGAGATGATACGAGACCCAGTAAAAAAGAAGCATGATATTTAACACAACGTTTAACTGTTAACCTTTTTTACCCATGTTCTTGTTCATTTGAATTCATTATTTTCTTATTAGTGTCATATATATATATATACATATTCATACGTGTGTGTATATATATATATACTTTATTCCAGTAGCTTATTATTTACCAGTTAGGGAATATAAGTGTCATTATACCAACACTCAGTGTTATATTAAACTATTATACCAATAATTTTTTTTTATTAGTGAAACACCATGAGGTACAGTTGTAGACTTACAAGTTGTTGTGCTTGGGTTTCAGTTATGCAATGATCGAGTACCCATCCCACCACCAGTGTCCATTCTCCACCTCCACCAATCCCAGTATCCCTCCCACCCCCCATCCCCCATCCCACCCTGCCTCTATGGCAGGGCACTCCCGTTTGTTCTATCTCTCCTTTTGGGTGCTGTGGTGTGCAGAAGAGACATTGGGTGGCAATCATGTTCGATTCATGGACTGCTTTCAGCAGGCATCTCCCATCCTGTGCAGATCTTCCCAGCACCCTTTATTTGGTGCTCCCTTTTCTATCTGAGCTTCCTTTACCCCTAGAGTGTGCGGCTGGCCTCTAAGCCATGGAGTGAACAGCCTGGTTTTTATCACAGCTTATATCAATAATTTTTAAAGATTGGCTCTTGACTACCTAGAATCCTAAGTTATGAATGTAAGTTGTCACTATCAATCTTGGTTTATAATAACAACATTGATGAGCATCAATGCAGTTTTGTTGTCCTCCTAACTGTGCAAGCACACTGCCACAATCTTGTAGAATCTATCATTTCTTTTTGCGGGGATCGGGGCACAGCCAGCGGTGCTCAGGGGTCACTCCTGGCTCTGCACTCAGGGATCACTCCTGCGAGCTCAGGGACCATCTGGATGCCAGGAACAGGACATAAGTCAGCCCCATGGCAGGCCAGGTGGCCCTGCCCATTGGGCAGTTTACTGCTCTGGTCCTAGAATCTTTCGTCTAAACACTGGCGTGTCCTTGCATTCAGCTCCTCACTGTTTCATTCTCTCTCCCCATAACTTAGGTGACGCTGAGCCCCTGATGTGACGCCATCCAGAGCAAACACTGAGAGCCTCACCATTGCATTTCCAGCCGTTCTCTCTGGAGAGCCACAGGAAAATGGGGACCTACTTCCACTTAGCACCTGAGGGGTATCGGCCTTTTGCATTAAGATTCTTTTCACTCCTCAATTAATACTATAGGACATGGTATCTTGAGGAAGAAGACCATTATTCCCCGCCATTTCTCAGATCTAAAATCAGGGCTTCTCTAACGTCTCGTCCCTAACGACTTCTGACTTCCTTACCCTAAATTACATCCCAAAGCTTATCTCACCTCAGACTTGCAGCTTTTCCAGGTCTGCTGGAGTATACATCTGAATTACTCACGTGCTTTATATGCTAAAATTCTTGGTACTAGCACCGCTAAGTCTATGCACCAATCTTTAAAACTATCAACTTTAGAAAAATGAAAACTGGATACAGATAACCCTGCGGCAAAAATTTTTCAATACATGTCCACCACTTTCAGAATAAAACACTCAGATTCTCTGCCAAGAGTTACTAGGTTCTCTATGATCTGATCTTGAATGAATTCAGTGATTTTATCTCTCTCCACTCTCTCTATGACCTTCTTTAATTTTTATCCTTGGAACTAGGCTGTTTTCCATTCAATGACCTTTGCACTTTTATTGTATTTTTCCTGAATTCTATTTTCTCCAATATGAAAATGACTTTTCTGTTCAATTCATTCAAGTTTTTTTCTCGGATGATAATTCTTTACATTTTTAAAATTATAACTTTATGTAAATTATTCTCCACAGTATGCATTCCCAGTCTTTTTAAAACCATAACTTATTTGTATAATTTGATATATTTTCCTTAAAATATAGTTTCTATTATAGAACATTTTTGAGTCTTATATTTAGTGGGTAAAAATCTGTTGAATATGAAATATTGACAGCCCTTCTAAACAATTGGAGTTATACTAAAAGTAGAAATAAATCCATGAGACTCAAAACTGCCTTTACTTAGGTAAGCGAATGACTTGATGGGATTCCCCTTACTGGATACTCTCAGGCATAGTCTATGCTAACTACAAATTCTCCTTGGCGGATTTCTCTAAATGTTTAGTGTAGTGTAAATATACCCATTTGGTTCTGTTGTGTGCTATTTTCTTTCTTTTTTTTTAAATTTTAGTTACCATCGTTTACAAGACTATTCCTGGCAGAGTTTCATATATAAAATATTCGGCACCATACCCACCATCAAGCTGTCTACTGTTCAACTCCTTCCGTTCAATCCTTATCAGAAGTTGTTTGTTTTCTGTCCCAAGGGTTGGGCCCAGATCCCCAAATTTGCAAAGCATAAGTGCTCTATTACATAGCATGATCTAAGATCTAATAAGACATGTGGATATTCTAATTCAGAGGGATACTATGTCCATCACTTGATCACTTGACATCCCATTACTTATTAATTTGCTCGAGCGGGCATCAGTAACGTCTCCATTCATCCCAGGGATGAATTATGTCCATATAATGCATAAAAGATGAAAATCAATGATCTACTCGAGTCCAAGTGGTTAAAATAAATCAGTCAGTTAAACCCAAAGAACATGGTTTCAAGTTAACAATCTAATTTATTCAGAATTCCCTGGTTCTTTCTTAGCTCTCATAGAGCTCTCTTTCTGGTTTTTTAGTAATTATTTTTTTGCCTTGCCTCTCTAGTCCTAGGAGAGGAACTAGCTTCCTTATAACCAGGGCACTATACTAACCATTGGTACCTTCTCAAACTCCTTCCAGGTCATAGTCAGGGTCCCCTTTAGCAGTTTTCCTCAACTCCCAAGATGAAATGCACCATCTATTGCCCATATTATAGCATATCTGGGCTGGAGTGATAGCACGGCGGGTAGGACGTTTGCTTTGTACTCAGCTGACCCAGGTTCAATTCCTTCACCCCTCTCAGAGAGCCCGGCAGGCTACCGAGAGTATGTTGCCTGAACAGCAAAGCTTTGGCAAGCTCCCCGTGACGTATTTGATATGCCAAAAACAGTCACAACAAGTCTCACAGTTTGTTGTGAGACATTACTGGTGCCCACTCGAGCAAATCAATGAAAAACGGGAGGACAGTGCTATGGTGCTACAGCATATTTGATCCCCGAAAACAGCAGCACAAATGTAGGACTCTGGAATTTAGTTGCTTACGTATTTGGGTATTTATAATGGTAGGCAATAAATGACTGACAGTGTATCCTCGGGGTTATGATAATTCAAATTTACCACCAACATTAATACGAGAGGAATTACTTAAGGAGCACAAGAAATGGTCTTGGCAGTAATAGTTATTTTCAAGATTGCAACTACAGATAGTGTTCTGAAGTCTTACATAAAGAATAAAGGAGAAATTGAAAGCAATGAGCATCTTGACTCAGGAATGAGAGTGACTTTGGAAGTCTTGGTGGCAGCTTTGAAGGTGTCAACTACATCCTGTAGTTGTAGGTTAGATATGTTTGAAGACAACGCTAAAGCTTGTCTGTCAAGGAAGCAAGAGTTAATCCCCTGTTATATTTTGTGTTATATAAGGGGAGGGTACTGATGAGATAATCCTCTAAATCCCTCTGAATCTCTTAGATATTGAAAATAAATTCTGTAACTTCTAAAGAAATAAGTCTTCCTCTGTATGCTTTCCAATACTAGATCCAATACACAAACCTATCCTGAAGTCACCCCCAATACCATTTTCTGGCCCCAGTTTTAAATTTTAACACAGTTAAGTCATAGAACCCCTCTCGGAGAGCCCGGTAAGCTACTGAGAGTATCTCGCCCGCATGGCAGAGCCTGGCAAGCTACCCTTGATGTATTCGATATGCCAAACACAGTAACAACAAAGTCTCCAATGGAGATGTTACTGGGCCCGCTCGAGCAAATTGATGAACAATGGGAGCACAGGACAGTGAAGTCATAGAAGCATAAAATTCACATAATCCCAGTGAGGATAGAGCATAGGTAACAAGGCAAATAAATTGCCATGATTGACGATGATCTAGGAATTAATGTTGAAGTACTGGTAATAGTTACTTAGACTGTCCGAGGGTGGATCAGCAATGAATGGATTTGGATGTAAACCATTTGATCCTTCTCTAGTATATTTGACAGATTTAAGAAGGTGAAAATTACTAAATGTTAAGAATTTCATAAAAGACATGAATACGCAGCTCTGCAGAGTTGTTTGTTCTCATCCTTGGAAAGATATTAAGGCAGGAAATTGGATTTCTTGATAACACAAATGAGTGAAGAGGCTAACAGAGGACAAGGAAAATATTTAATGATTGGAAACAAGGTGAAAGTACTAATGTAGGACTCTTCATGATTGGTGATTGGAGTGAGTTGATTTTCAGAGATGTAGAGCAATGGCTGAGTACAGGATTCTGAGAAGAACTTGACAGGCGCTAGATTAAGGTACTTCTGGTTACATATGGAAGAAATGAGTTTAGATACCAGGGAAGAAACGTCAAATGCTACTTAGAAAATGGAATATTTGTATGTAGTTCCTGGAGCTCATTCCCATGCAGACATACTATAACTTACTCAAGAATCCTAAGTGTTGAAATTTAGAATGGAAGTGCCACCAGATTCTACACAGATTTACAAATCTTTTTATTGATAGCAATGCTATTTTATATCTTTCAGAATATTTTACATGTGCTAAGAACTTTTCAAATACATCTTATAACATTACTAAACATGGTGATAAGTAA